GACCTGATTTACTTCTACCAGACCCATCCCCCGACCAGGCAGATCTGATTTACTTCTACCAGACCCATCCCCCGACCAGATAGACCTGATTTACTTCTACCAGACCCATCCCCCGACCAGGCAGATCTGATTTACTTCTACCAGACCCATCCCCCGACCAGGCAGATCTGACTTACTTCTACCAGACCCATCCCCCGACCAGATAGACCTGATTTACTTCTACCAGACCCATCCCCCGACCAGGCAGATCTGATTTACTTCTACCAGACCCATCCCCCGACCAGGCAGATCTGAGACCCATCCCCCGACCAGGTGATTTACTTCTACCAGACCCATCCCCCGACCAGGCAGATCTGATTTACTTCTACCAGACCCATCCCCCGACCAGGTAGACCTGATTTACTTCTACCAGACCCATCCCCCGACCAGGCAGACCTGATTTACTTCTACCAGACCCATCCCCCGACCAGGCAGATCTGATTTACTTCTACCAGACCCATCCCCCGACCAGGCAGATCTGATTTACTTCTACCAGACCCATCCCCCGACCAGGCAGATCTGATTTACTTCTACCAGACCCATCCCCCGACCAGGCAGATCTGACTTACTTCTACCAGACCCATCCCCCGACCAGGTAGACCTGATTTACTTCTACCAGACCCATCCCCCGACCAGGCAGATCTGATTTACTTCTACCAGACCCATCCCCCGACCAGGTAGACCTGATTTACTTCTACCAGACCCATCCCCCGACCAGATAGACCTGATTTACTTCTACCAGACCCATCCCCCGACCAGGCAGATCTGATTTACTTCTACCAGACCCATCCCCCGACCAGGCAGATCTGACTTACTTCTACCAGACCCATCCCCCGACCAGGTAGACCTGATTTACTTCTACCAGACCCATCCCCCGACCAGGCAGATCTGATTTACTTCTACCAGACCCATCCCCCGACCAGGCAGATCTGACTTACTTCTACCAGACCCATCCCCCGACCAGGTAGACCTGATTTACTTCTACCAGACCCATCCCCCCGACCAGGCAGATCTGATTTACTTCTACCAGACCCATCCCCCGACCAGGCAGATCTGACTTACTTCTACCAGACCCATCCCCCGACCAGGCAGATCTGACTTACTTCTACCAGACCCATCCCCCGACCAGGCAGATCTGATTTACTTCTACCAGACCCATCCCCCGACCAGGCAGATCTGACTTACTTCTACCAGACCCATCCCCCGACCAGGTAGACCTGACTTACTTCTACCAGATCCGTCCCATGACCAGGCAGATCTGACTTACTTCTACCAGACCCGTCCCATGACCAGGCAGATCTGACTTACTTCTACTAGACCCATCCCCCGACCAGGCAGATCTGATTTACTTCTACCAGTCCTGTGTCTTCCATTTTCATTACTATGAAAACCTAGACATACCAATCAGAGGTCTCAATTAACATTGAGAATCAGCTGAACACCACCGTAAGACATTTTCCAACAAAAAAAAAAAAATCAGATTTTTCATTTTGAATGAGAAAATTAAACTTTATCAAATTGAAATTTTGTGATCTGGATGTAAAAGGATATTTGATTTTTGTGAATATTGTTCAAGTAAAAGGTAACCTGCACTTTATTGTAAGTGACTGTAACTATAGAAATATCTTGAGACAACTGAGACAGCCAAGTCAACTACTGACCACAATTATATCACAGACAATATTTTAAGTCATGTTTGATAATGTATGCATACTGATAATATGATTTCCTTAAAAAACCCCAAACAAACAAGACTTGATCAGGAAGACAGTGTAAGCATAACTGAAATGTGGTCATGTATAAGAGACTATGTTAGAATTTAAAGACTTGGGGTGTTATTTTCTAGTTGAGTCAACACTTTGTTTTAAAATCATAAAGAAAAAGAAAAAGAAAGATCTTCCACCATATAGATGTAGCTATTCTTCAAATATCACAAAGTACCATTTTGATATATGCCAATAGATATATACTGGTAATATTGTGTACATCAGTCCTAATGATTCTACATTCAGTTCCAAGTCAGCTTTGATACATATTCAGACTAAAATATATGTCAGTTAAAGAGAAAATGGACAATGACACCTAACAAATCACATACTTTACTTAATTTTGATAATGTCGTAAAAACTATTCATCAGAAAAATAATTAAAATATGACTTTGACCTTCTTTCTTGTGACTTTGACCTGCAGGTGGAACACTTTTCATTTAAGTTCAAACAAGTTACAGTGACGTATCATCATGTGAAATAGAAAGTTTGGCATTATGAGTAGGGACCTATATGATGTGTTTTTAACATTGTATACTCGATTCTTCTTTAAGGTAGGAACAACCTTGGCCATGGACATCAGTGTATTATGAAGTGAGACTTCATTAAATTTTATAATCTCTGGGAATGAAAGTGATGGCAGAAGAACATTGACACCATTACGGTGATCATTCTTACTTTGGAGCAGATGGAGTCTTTAGTGTGAAAAGTGAGGCAGTTTAAACAAAAAGTATTTTATCAAACCCTTCCATTTTGATAATGATTTAGTCTTAAATGAAACACTGCTCAAATACTACTTAAGCAGTTTTTTTTTACCAATAATTATTTTCTTCACTCAAGTAACATTTTTATTCACAAACTCCAAATAGATCAACCAGTATGAATTCAGATGCTGAATTCTACTTAGCCAGGCACAAAATAACAAAATTTACATACCCAGTGCACCTCTCCCTTCAGTAACAGGTGGATATATATATAGACTGTTTCATACCTTTGACATTTAAGTAACAGGTGGGTAAACTGTTTGTACCTTACACAAACATCTTTGTTTACTAATGTAATGGCCAGGAATAAGTGGCAGAACTGCTGTACCATTCCAAGCTGTTGTTGGTTCATTACCAATCTATGTTTTAAGAAACTTATATGTAGATCTAAACTTAAGCATTACAATCCAAGATACCATTACAAGTTCCAACAAAAAGACTTAGATCTACTGGAGTTTTGTACAGATTGGAGACTGATAGTGTGAAATTTGCTATTTCATTACCTATAAAAGCGTACTTTTAATTTCGTATAATTTTTTAAACATTTTACATAAATTACACTGGATATTTCAATGTTTTATCTTTAAAGCCTGTTTTACAGTATTTAGAGTGAAGAGACAATGGCTATCATAACCATAAGTAAAATGTAAATCACACACTGATAATAAATAGCTAACTTCTAGGTTTTTTTAACCTTTAATAAAATTATTGTTAGCTGCAAATAGGTGTTTGAGAATAGCCCAAATATTCATTATTCTGGGCGTGGAATCCTTCGAGGGCAAACGAAAACATAATTATGGATCAAAGAACATGTTCATCTTGTAAACAATGGATTCTACATGTGAAACAATGACAAACAAATACTGTCATTGCACATTAGCTACAAACTGAGTGTTACCTAATTGTACTAAGATAATCTGAGAATTAGGATGGACGTCACTTATTATATTATGAAAAAGGGGAAAAGATGGTGGTTTCCAACATTCTTAGCCAACTCTTTCCTCCCAGGTTGAAATCCCATTTCATAAGTAACATAGTGAAAGATAATAATATTGTTCAATAAAAACACTGCTTGTCCATGATATTCTAATACTTCATTAAAGCTGGTGTAAATAGGTAACTGACAGAGAGGAGAATGATACTACTGAATAGCACAACATTTGGACTCTATCACCTGTAAAAGTTGACAAATATTCACATTACAGGAAATATTTGTTTTGTCAAAAAAATTATTCCTATTTCCGGGTTATTTTTGATGGCAGTGGAGGCATGTTTTTTTTAATTATATACACTGACAAAGGGTTTTTTGGCATGTAATTGTGTTGCTTTTGTGAAACAAGTTAATTTCATTCACACTAAGAAAGCCATTACCATAAACATATGTTAGGACATACTAAATCACAGCATAAACCTAAAGTGTTTGAAGGCCCCTGAACTTTCTTGTATGGATTAAAGGCTAGATATTATTTCAAGGTTAACAAATTACTTAGCCATCATAGCTAAGTTCTTTTAATTCTGTTTTTAATAGTCTAGCAACACAATTACATGTCACAAGCCCTTGTTGTTGCACAAAGGAAAAACATTACATCCCCTCTGCCATCACAAATGAAGCAAATATTTATAACTATTTAGTTATGAGGTAAAAACTCATGTTTTCCTGAAGAGTTTTTTCTTGTGCAAAGAGGAACAATGGACCTGTATTGCTTACACTGTTAATTAATACTACAAGGGTTACGATCACTTGTGCTCTCTGCATCCCTGGAACATATCATGGCAAAATTGAAGGCACAGGCAATGTAATTTGATTGGTCTAGAGTGGTTTCCAGGAGAAAAAACTAACCAATCATAGGCTGGTGTACTCCTTTGAAAATTACAAAGGAGCGACATACAACCTCAAAGCCATTACAGCATGTACATCAAAGGATCAAATTGTCTTCTCAACAAGGTGTCACACATGTAAACTTCAATTTTGCCACGACATGTTCAAGGGGTGCAGAAAATGAAAGTGATTGTAACCCCTGGTGTATCAAGAAAGACATCAAGATCTGTGATAAAGTCAAAATAAAATATGCAAACACTGAAATGTGAGAAAGTTAACACTGTAACTTAAACAGTATTACTCCATACACCTTACAGATCTTTGTTCACAGTTCTTTACTTAAACGGACAGAGAGTTAAAAGCAACATCAAATAAGTTTGTGCCAGGCAAGTGCTACCGTCTCATTACAATTGACTCTGAATCTCTAAACTTCTAGTAACATTTTGTAATTTAAAGAAGCAGTAATTTTCCCAGCACCTCAATCAAGGTCAATACTTACCAATGGACACCAGAATCATCCAGCAATGTTTTGGTTAATCCTTTGAGGGACAAACACGAGACACACATATATTGTATCCGGTTGTACAGGAGAATACATATGGATAACTCACCATGATTTTGTTTTCTGGGGGTCACTTGACCACCACTGTGTGACCTATTTCCTTCGCTGTTGCGACGGTAACGTCTGTTCGCCTGGCTGCCTTGTGGGTCAGGATATATCCCTGAGCTATCTTTTCTGTGAAATAATGTGGCATTGTCAGGCTTATGCTCCAAAGTATGAGGAGTCCGATGGTGAGAAGATGACAAGGATTGACTAGCTCCTCGTAGGTGTTGTTGTTCGACAGCCAGGTGCTGACTGGCCTGAAACTTTTCAATAATGTATTTTTTGTCTGGTTTTCCACTGTGGGGATATGTTGGGTTAATATCAGACATGCTTCGTTTGAGGTTTTTCTCTGATAACAAAGTCCGGTCCACAGCATTACTGGAATGTTTGGACTTGTCCGTAGAGGCTACAATACAAAAATAGGGTTTAAATAGGATAAAAGGAAAACACTTATAGAATGGTCCACATCAAAATGGAAAATTACATACCATGAGTTTTTCTTTCAACATGTTCACTCTGTTTAGATATAGGATAGATTAAACACCATTTTCTAAATCTAGGGTTGAAAAACTGACTTCCTTAAAACGATGAACCATGTACAAAAAAGTACATATCAGTTACCGGGTCACATGACTGGTCTTTACATAACACAATGTTTAGTTCTTCACTGATGAAATGCGTTCCTTCTCTACTTTGGTAAAGCACTTAGGCCTAGTTCACCTTCCCCTCCAGGTTTTAACATTTCTTTGAATCACTTATTTTGGATATGCCTCAGTTGCATTCCATGTATAATGCAGTTAAGTTCATTACTTCTGTATCTAAATTTGTATTAAAAGGTGCTATTTACTTGACAAGTTGTGTCTTTTGTACCACCTTTGTTTAACATTAAACATACAAGACTGATATATACTTTGTATCACAAACCTTGAGTAGTTTACAGACATTTTCTTCATTGTAGATAATATTTGCTATTTGATAACCTCAGACATGAACAACAGTAAATTTCTTAAGTTTAAGGATAATTTCTTTATAATTACAGAAATTTATCATTTTGATAATCACAGACAAGTCCAACAGTAACTTTCTTCAGTGAAATCATTACCTTCGTCAATACCAGAGAAGTGAATGACGGTGCATAATCCAACTTTAAATCAGCAGCTTACAGCTTGTACAGTTCAACATTCAATACTAGATACATATAAAGATTTCATCACTTTATCGTAATGGTGAATCATGCAAATTACATACATCTGTTTTTTCTCTTTGGCTATATTTTATTGACATATATTTTTCTGTACATAATTGTCCAATTAACAGCAATTATATCCAACAATTTCTGATAGCTTATCTAATAGCTGAAGAAATATGAAAGTTTGTCTCCTACAAACTTCTGATTTTACTTTTACTGAAGTCTGCTCCAATAGAACCTTTTGTAATTTCGTTGAAGTTTGTTATACAAGAGACTTTTGTAATTGTTATGTGTAGGACCTACAGCCTGACTTACATTTATTTGGGTAGTTGACTTTGGCTCCACTGCTGTTTCCCCCAGTACTACTGCTGGTACCTCCACCACGACTGTAGTTATTGGGCTTGACATCTCCTTTTGATCCCGGTCTACAAAAATATAAAAAAGATGAAATGCTTATAATTACAAAGGATCTAGGATGCATGTTGGTCCCCTCCATTGAATGTTCTTTATTGGTTTTAAACAAGACTTGATTTTTTCTCTACTTTGCCCTTCTTTCTCCTTTTGCTCTTAATCATTTGATAATAAGGAAATTCTACACATGAAACCCAAGGAAGACTTAACAGGAACTCTCTAGGGAATAGTGATGAATTTAACATCTTAAATGGTCTCTGGGCAACCACTTTTTCTTCTTCAGACACAAAATTGTATGGGCTTAAAAGGGGAAGTGGGGACAACTGGACAGACTATCCTATAATCTGATGATGGGAGGGCTAAAAGTTCCATTTTTCACTACTTCAAAATGTTAAGATGTTTTTTTTATGAATTCCATCTAGAAGTGTCATAAAGGAGGCATAACAAACCAATTTTACTTCTGTGGTATACTGACCCATCAATCCAATCTTTTGGTTTCTCCCACTGGGATACTTCAGTTTTACAGTTGTAGTAGTAGTGCATACCAGACGAACTGACATGCTCTGACCAATCTCCACAGGTTCGTCCAGGTGTCTTTTGGGACTGGAAGAGAAAATTATTAAGGCTGATGAGTGTAACATGTTGACAGGAATTGAATTTGTAACAAAAAAAAAAAAAAAAAACATAACAGGTCACATTATATATAGCTCTCGTTTTCTTTATGCTATCTTTTGCTGAAAATTATTTATAAAGGCATTCTATTCCTTTTCTTCAGAGAAGCATTATTTACTAAACACAAAATACAGATTCAGATTTCATATGATAATATGACATTAGTTGAAGCCTGGACAGTGGGGAATACTTGTATCTATTTTGGTTTCTGATTTTTTTTTTTTTTAACATATGCTAGTTCACTTTCATTATCTCAATCTCACTTGATGTGTTGGCACCGTGGAGTTCTTAAATGATAAGTATGTTAAAGAACAAACCTCATAGTAAAGCTTTGTTCTTTGCTGCATAACGTTATCATCTTACAGAAATATCAAGCTACTAAGACATTACAACCCCAGTTTATTTTTATTGTATATTAAAAATGCCTTTTTTGTTTGAAATTTTCCTGTCTTAATTTTAATAGTCACTTCATTTTCCAATTTTCAGGTCTGTAAACCTAGAAGAGAAGTTATATAATCTACTGAGGAACTGTCTCATCAATGTAGTAACTATTTTTCTAGTCCCCTGAAGTGCTTTATAAATGTTATTTTGCTCCGGGACACTTGTCAGGCATCGTCTATCAGGAACATAAAGTCGTACCTCAGATTTTCCATCTTTTTCCTTAACATCACGAAGCTGTTTGATGCCTTTGTCGTAGTTACCATTTTGGTTGTTACTTCTTTGATTGCTGTAGGTATGGTTTGCTTTTCTGTCGGGAAAACTGCTTGATCCTGAAAACAAGTAAATCTTTATCATGTAATTTCATCCGTAAAGAGTTTTTTTGTGATAAATTGTCCTTGCCAACACAGTCAAGCATTAACTTAGTTTAGATGTTTAACTTTGACTGATAGCCAACTAAATACAAGCAGGCTTAGAATACTGATTATGTCTTTATACAATTTCATGTAAAACCTGATCTGTTGAAAGGTTTACTGATTTGTACATTCTATTTGTTGTTTCTATAAACCAACACAAAAGATATCCTACATGTAAAGAATGACTTCATGCATGCATTTTTTTCAAATTCTATGCTGCATTCAGATATTTCAACTCTTACCTTTCTCGTATCTTTCTTTAATTTTCTCAGAATAAGAGCCTTTGTTGTGATATCTGGGACTGAGACGGCTTGAAGGGCTGTTGTCTCGACATCTGTCAGAACTTCCCCCATCCCGCTTGTATCTGTCTGCATAACTGTCAATTCCGTAATTCTTTGATGGGTACTGGGATGACTGAAACATGGCAAATATCATATAGATTGACAGTAAAGCTGAGAGAATTTTGTCTACGTTCAAGATCAACGAAGAAAATATTAACATGTCAGCAGAATCTTTATTCAAACTCAAAATTCTATGAAATAAGGGACCAAAACTATTCTTGGAGATCCCTGGAAATGTCAAGGAAAATAAGGCAGGTGTTCCAGAAGAGTAAGCTTCTTCTGCTTCTTCGATGACACCAGCCATGCAAATCTTGGTCAATCCAAGTAAGTAATGTCATGTTCCTGAATTAGAACAAGATGAATTACAATGGAATTGCAAGCTCTCAGCATTGTTGTATTTTGAGAATATGATATATCTTTAAAACCTATTCAAGGACCTATGAGTGAAGACTTTTGAACATATAACATATATTAGAATACAGTGTCAAACAAGATAAGAATATAATCTCAAGTAATATCAGGCCTGCCATCAAAAAGTCTTTATTTGTAAAAAGCTATTCATCCTTCAAACTCGTACGTAATCACAAACCAAAGTCAGGACCATAGTAGTGTAAAAGAACAAAAATTACCTAGGGCAAGTGGCTGAAAAATATTTGTAAATTTCTTCATGAAGTTTCTTTCACTGTATCAAATCTCAAGAACTAGTAACTCTTGCATGTGAAACCCAGTCCTAGCTACTGTAAGCATTGATTCAGGAAGTTGGTAGGAAATATGTTTAAATATCAAACCTATGACCAATCTACATGCGATTCCTGCACTCTTAGAATTTTCGAGGGATTCATAGAACTTCTGAAACTACTTAATATTTCCATTGTGGGACTGGTTGTTTTTGGATATTAAGTTACAAAGGACTCATGAAAATAAATCTTAGATTGATTGCAGCAAAGACATCAAATGTCTGCATTCCTGGTGTAAATCCTTCATAAGTATGTCCATGATGGGAAAATGGCAAAGTCAGTCTGTCATTTTCTTTGAAATTTAGATGCAATAATGACTAAGTTATGATGATAACTTTCACTCATCTTTCACCTTTCCATTCGATCCTTTCTTTTCAAGAATATAAATGATATCCATTCTTGTAATCATGATCAAATTTCATTTCCTAGATAAACAAACCACAACATGTATTTTGTATAAAAGTAGCATGAGTTCTCATCAAACCACGGTGAATTGTGAACATATGATCATAGGGCCTGAATATCTCTTCTAAGCTTGAAATTCTAATTTCAATTTCCCACTACACATATTCATCAAACTCTAAAGCACAGGCAGAAGGTAACAGGACAGTTCTGGTATTGAATATAGTGTGCAGATTCTGAAGAAGAGACAACAATATCTCAGACATCTGAGACCAAATCTGGGTAGTTTGTGTTTCACTGGCAAGGATCAAGGAACTCCCTGTAATTTTGTGGTAGTGTCCTTCAGCAAGACACGCCACTCTTACATCCAATATGATGTTCAGTGAAGAAGACCTGACCCACATAATGACCCTACCTGTTTTAAAGGAAGAAAAATTAAACCTAGCAAACAAATCCAAGACTTTCTCAAGCAATGAGTGCAAATAACTGATGATAACAGTTCACTATTTGGCAAATGGATGAAAGTGTTAAAAGTAAATGGTTAAATTGTCAGGATGCATTTTTGTCCCAATCGCACTCATGCTTCAGGCAGTCTGATCGAAAATTAATGTTTCATCCATTCCAACCATTATTAAGTCAAATATCCAATTCTAGTGAAGAAAATAAATAATTTGTGTCTGGGTTGGCATTCAATAATTGTGGAAAGAAAATTGTCCTTTTCACATGCATGCCACACACAGACTGAAATGTCTTTTCTGTATCTGCAAGCTGTACCAATGTCATGTTTCAGAGTATAACACTTGACTGTAAATTTATCTATTATGGAGCAATCAAGTTTGAATGCATTATCACTTTTGTGTCACAGTAGGACAGTGATTGTAAATTTATCTATTATGGAGCAATCAAGTTTGAATGCATTATCACTTTTGTGTCACAGTAGGACAGTGATTAGCATTTCCACTGCTATATTATCAGCATACAGAAAAAACACTACTGCCAGGATATGCTTGTTTACAACATTTTTTCCGAATCTTCCCATATCAAGATTGAAATCAGTGTAGGAACTTTCCCATGTGACTGAAATATCCTAATACCCCAGGTGTTTCCAAAAGTTATGACCTATACTATAAAATAAAGAAGACAAAATATATGCATTCTCCATGCAGACACTTTCTTTCACTTACGTAAATGAGCGTCATTGAGCTTTCTTTCACTTGTGTAAATGAGCGTCATTGAGCTTTCTTTCACTTACATAAATGAGCGCCATTGAGTAACTTTCATTATGCTTTACTCTTAGATGAATTATTGCATAGCAGTAGCTGCACCAAACTTAAATATTTGACTGATCATGATTACACAAACGGCCAGAAGTGAATTTTGGAGCAATATTTGTCAACTCAAGACCAATTTAAAAACTGATAATTTGGATTAACCAATGACTGAAATTTCACGTAGTTGGACATTTACATAAATCCATGCCTTATTACTAATGGTAAACCTCCAGTCAGATATTAACACAGCTAGTTTGAACATGATTTCTTTCAATAAAACAATAATTTTGTGTTTAGGGCTACTTCCTACCCTTTTTATTCCTGTTTCAACTACTATTTGAAGAGTCTGAACACGTTGTGAGATTGTGGATATTTACACTGCAATAATACCAACATGTGGTCATTATTTACATCAACTGTATATGTGGATAGCAGGTTGTAAATGACCACTGTAAGCAAATGATATAGCCAATTATACACATACATGTCACTTTATCAGCAATGGCACAACTCGAGGCTCCAAATCTGAATTACAAGTGATCTGTATACAGAGCACAAAATGTTGACATGGGTGTTGTCAAAGGGCATTTGTATTTTACCATAAATTGCAGGGCTCTTGATCTGCCAGATTTGGGGCATTCCCAATGCAAAATAGTATCTTTTTTCCCAATTTAGACCCCAAGTTTTCCCAATTCTAAGGAAAACGCTGCAATTCTAAGGGCCCTGGGCCCCAGTCCCAAAATGGGGTGTGAGAGCCCTGCATTGTGATAAGATATATCCCTATTTATTGCTTGAAAGAAATTATTGTAAGACTCAATAGATATGCTTTGCAAACACCCATGAGATGATTTTAATAAACAATAATCTGTAGCCACAACCCTCAATCTACATTCTGTATACTGATTTGTAAATAAAAACTTCTGCCAGTACACAAGCTGACATGTTGTTTTGCTGGCTAAATTACACTGTTTCAATATTGTGATACCTAACGTGACTATGAGAACAAAATAATAATATGTGACTCCTTAACAGTGACATCAACATGTAAGTATTTTAAAAGATAATCATATTATTATTGGCATTTTTATTCTAAATAGGCTATTACCTATAAAATAATTTTCTCCCACATGTACAGTACATGTTCACCTTTAAACACTTGTCATTGTGGACACCATTGACTTTGATAATTTGAACTAAAGCAACTTCTTTGCATAAGCATAATTTGAAGGAGTTCACGAATATTCAGTATTATCCAGACTGACTGAAGGTTTATGGTATATATAGTTACACTTCTGTTACACATAAACTGTGACAATTTCAATATATTTATCACTGAAATGTCAAACAAGCATGAAAGCAAGACACCTAAAATATGCAAAAGGAAACAACATGGCCACCAAGGAAGAATCTTACATGGACTGTTCTGTAACACAGGGATTTCCCTGCGTTAAGTTTGGTTGGTCACCATGAGGCTACCATTATCAATATCTCACACAATATACATAAAATTGACAATATCATCAATTTGTAACAGGGTTATGCTACAGTACATTATGGCACGACTGTTTTGAGTAGAGTCATGGCATATCTGCATTCCCTTCTAGGCAATGAGGAAACATTTCCTAAGGGATGACACAGAAATCTTGACCAGCACAGGAGTCAAATCTGTAAATGATTGGGGAAATGCATTTGAACATTCCCACATATCTAGCTCTTGGAGTGATCTGCAAGTCACTGTTTTAGAACATGGCGAATCTTTCATGAAACTTTTTATGGGGGGATATTTTCCATATCCTATTAAGTCTGATTGGTGGAAATAGACCCTTTGCATCTATGTTTTGGCTATGCAAATCCACTTAATTAGTCAACCGATCTGTCTTTTGAAACCAGCTATAGCTCATTATCAAATGTCTACAAAAACTGGTATTTCATATTTTCAATAACAGGTTTCATCTAATAAGTAACCTTTGAATCTAAAAATTTCTTATCCAAACATTTTTTTTTCAAGTTTTACCCCTTACTAAGGTAAACCTCACCCCAAGTAATAGAACAGAAGTACTTTTTCGTCACTTTACCTCAAATTACCCCATTTTGAACCCTGACAGTCCAAAATAGGGGTAGTACATCCTTTTCTATGACTTTTGAGTGTGATTTCTTTAAACATTCTTGGATTTTATATATATTTGAGGTGTATTTTTTCAAAATTCTCGACTTTTGAATGGTTTGAGAATACGAATGCAATACTGCATGGTCCCCGCCTATTACCTGGAACGGATGGGCGTCTCTCTTTTCCATATACCTGAAAAACATAAATGCAAAACGAATTAATATCAGAAATGCGTTAAATACTGCAAAACAAGATATTTTTTCTGTAAATTTATTGCAAATTGACAACAAAGATGGCGGCCTGACAGTCTTGTAACTGACATGTCATGTTGATACCTAAGATCCTTACCCATCATCGAGTCTGGGCTGTTTCCTTGCATGCATTACCATTAATGCAAATACTTATAGGGTGCTTGAACGCACAAAACGCTGAAAGTGGGACTATTCTAGCTATTTTCAACAGCTAGACAGCCTTCCAATTCAGTCGATTAGACGCCATGACACATCCGGGGTATTTCCTGATGACGAAAATAGAATCCAACGGTCGATATTTCGCCGTTCAAAAACAGAATTAAAATAAATAATTGGTTCTATTTTTATAAATTTAATCATATCATGTTAAAAATGATAAAAACACACAATTTTTGTGTAATATCCACGGTCGTTTAAGGTGAAGGTCGTTATAAGAAACTCAAGAGGACGAGGTTGTCGCGGACACATTCCAGTACACAGCACATTGGGGTACCTTAGGGGTAATCGATACATCAGATTTGGTCCAATGAGTCAGGGACGTTGTATTATTGATAGGAATCAGAGGACGATCTTGAGCAACCATTATAAAATTATTTCCATTGAATTTGTTTGTATTAGGTGAACATATCTAATGCCGAGGTGATTTATTCTATGATCAAAATATAATCTCCAATATTTTTTTTACATTAAAATAATCGATTTTATCAGGGACGTCCCTGATTTTATCTATTGAAAATTATTTACAAGAAAAAAAAATAATAAATAAACTGCATAAATAAATATCTGAAAGAAATGTAATGTAATGCACCCATGAGAAAGTTTATAATTCTTTGTTCACAATATATTGCACACAAAATAGCATTTTAGTGAAACTATCCATTCCAACCATTTCATTTCAACAAATTTATTGCATATAGCGATAACACACATATTGATATTTATGAATAATTCTTCCCCTTTATTTTTTTTATCTTGTTTTATAACGAATTGTCAAAACCGTTTGTGTAATTTGCAAACCCATTTCAGAGAGAAAACCAACACAATTACATTTTATTTTATAGCAAGATGCTTTCTAGTGAGATGGGAGATAACTCTTTCTCCGTTCCTACCGTTGAAAAAAAACATGGCTGCCATTCGCTATCTTTGACAGCGAGTTTACAGCTGGCAGTCGGATTTTGCAGCTGACGGATCAACAATCTTTACCCGTGATACTAGATGAGGAGAATTTGTAAGTACATATTTTTCATGGAAAGTTTGTTGTTTTGTGAAAGAACGAAATAACGTTGATAGAATGTAAACTTCTCGGAAGTTGTGTGACTCGTTGCAATTGGGTGACGGGACAGACAGTATATATACTAGATTCAGTCTCTCTCAGTTACTGCTCCGTGATACAGATCTTACCTGTGATGAAAATGACGTTATCTCTTTGTGGATAGTTTTATAAACGACACAGCGATGAGTCATGATTATCTTGTATTCATATGTGCGTTGAATGAGGAGGAAAAATGTACACGACACAAAGTTTCATTATCAACAGTTGGCAAGACATAATATTGACTGATCGATATATATGGAACAAATCAAGGATGACATTTATGTGTGTACTGTAACGGACGTTCTTAAATCCTATCTGTGTAAGTAGTTATTGAAAATAGCTTATTTTCTAAGTAAGGTCAAATTAATCATCTCTATCACGCACAGTCTTAGTAAGTCTGCTGTAATGTAAAGACTGCATGTTGGAATATATAGCAGAACGTGATATTAAACGTATGTGCATATGCCTTTATATATCATATTGTATTTCAAAGGTCTTTCTTAAGATATTGAGTACAGTCATGTAGCTTGGTTGTTTGTGTAATGTACAAATGTAACTTTTCATTTGTATACCTTCCAGTTGTCTAGTAGACACATTTTGACCTTTGAGATGGAAATGAAACAAGTGGGGAAGTGAACATGAAAATTCTTCTTCATAGTAAAATGAGATGGTTGATTACTGTTAGACTATGATAGAGGGAGGGGAGGTGTGCGTAATGCCATGGTGTGTATGTGTCAGAATGCATATAGATATTTATGTGGATTCTGACACAGGGGCCAGACTAGAATTTAATTACCTGTGAAAAGAACAGGTCAGTGTGGCTTGCATGGTCTGTGTCATTCAGCTGGTAGGGCTGAGGTGTGAGGTTTGATTTCTTTCAGGGTGCTATACAGGAATGTGTTCTTTCTTAGCAGTTCTATTACTTTATTTGCTATTCACTGTTATGGTATTTGGGAAAGAGGGGGAGGGGGGTCAGAAGATAATAGTCAACCTTACCCTACTTAAACAGTTCAAATGTTTTTCATGTAATAAAACCCAAGATTTCATCTGACAGTTTTTTTGTTTTTGTATCATTCTTCATGCCAAGTTTTATGAACATATAAGATTCCTGTGTGATAAAACTTAAGTTGTGATACAGACTTAATAGTAAAAAGTAAAAATTTTCATATAATTATTTAGAATTACAAATTCATCTGACTTCTTCTTCAATATGCTATATGAAACCAACTTTACCAAGAGAAGGCAAATTCTTGGAAGCAATCCAACTTGATGCTGTTCACATTGAATACTATTGGATTAAGCTTTATAAGTCATAATATCTCATTATTGGGTTTTCTATTTTCAAATCTCCCACCATCTTATTGGTGGTTAAGGGAGGAGAGGTGATGAACTTTACCCATATCCATCCATCTGTCCTCTGAGTAATGTTGTGTCATATTCCGTTCTGAATCAATGTCAGATCTTTAAAACCTATGAACTAGTTTAGTTCATATATACCCCAATATATCCGAACATGAAGGTCAAGGTAAAAAGGTCAAATGTAACATTTGATAACTAATGAAAAATTATTAAACAATGATACTTAGAGAAGATAAACATTTTCTAGTTTATCTAAATGAGTGAAAGCAAAGGGGGCTTTTGCATTTTCTGTCTAGTTTCTTTAATTCACTATCCGCAATCATGGAAAGTTGAATAAATAGCTTTATCAAGTAGATAAAGGATGGAGCATCAACCCCAATATTCTGTGAGTTTGTAGATTGTATTGGTTCACACGTTTCGAATGGCTAGGCCAACCCTCATCAGAACCCACAATACAGTTTTATGTATATGGGGGATTGTGAGGTCAGACACCGAAGGAGAAGTACAATGGGTATTTGATTTTCTATTTCCTGAACATTGCAGTATCACATGCATTACATAATTGTCAACTTTTCATGAAATATACTTTCAACTTTGATCTACATGTATCATTAAGATGTATTTTGTATTGTATTACAGTAATACAGGAGCTATGTATTCGTGTACTGTTATTTAGGTAGGTTGCCCCTATACAGGTTGATTAAATTGATGGACTTGATTCTACAGGGAACTGGTGTCCAATAGTGTCATGGTGGTGTATATATTACCAGTAATTGATTTTATTCCATATGTATTTGTAATCAATGGGCCATGGCGATGTAGTGATCCCATATGTCCTGTTTGTAAACTAACCTTCGATATTGACTGAACCCCATTGGACCTGTAAATAGCACTAGAAATATCAGGAGTTATTGTTGTTAACATAATTTGCGATGGACTTGGATCAAGAACATTATACATACTTCCAAGTGGTGTAGGTTTTATATAGAAGACATGTCTGTCTGGTTTTGTACAGTGTTTATGTAAATATATATAACTATATTGATCTTGTATGCAGTTATTATATCTGCTCATATTTTACCACAGCTTACATGTTCATATCGATCTAAATCCATTTGCGGACGTGAAATTTGGTGTTTTGTTTTTTGGGGGATTTGAAAAATATGTTGCGGTTATTATAATATACCGATGGTAATTTGTCAGAATGCCAGAGTTTTGATGATATAGATATTGCTTGATATAGTGGTTTAGCTTGGAGAGCAGTAACCACCAAGGTACTGACATGGTGGGAACCTGTTTACTGGTTTATTGGTTTATAATGGTTTTCTGCATGATCATCATTGTTGTGTGACATTATCAATTAATATGGAAGTGAATGTGGATATATTTAGAAGCTGTGGCCTCTATACTCTTTTTATGAATGAGCCCTAACCTGGAACAAAAAGTTTCTTTACAAATAATCCAACATCACATTTTTTTTCACAAGGAATTAAATTGGTTTTGAATTTTCTCATTATATGTCTAATTCAGTCAGTGTTTACATCTATATGAGATCAAACAACCAAAGAGAAAAAAATCAACAATGTCACGTCAACAAGCATTTTGAACTATTTTTACTCTGACTACTGCTAATTCTTGGATCTATTTTTAATAAAACTCTCAGGATTCCAGAGCTGAGAGAATTTTACCCAACTGAATGCCCTGCCTTCAGTGTAGAGTGACATGGGTTTGATTCTGGCCATGAGATTACAGAAGTATTTGGAATTTTTGGTGTCTATTTTCAGAAAGTATTTTAAGGCTACAGACTTGCTGTCACTGAAATTTTAGTCTTAAATTTTGTCGTTAAGTGGTAGCAGTCCGCATTCTTGACTGAGCGACTAAGGTGTCTAACCATCTTTATCACTAGCTTTCCACCGCTGCATCACAGGATTGAGGCCAGGTTCTGGCAGCAGGTCAGTAATTTCTCCAAGAACGCTGGCTTTCCTCCATCACCCCAAACCTGGCACGTCTTTTATCACTGGTCTTCCACCTCAGGGTTGCAGGTTTGAGGCCTACCTGGGGCAGTCACCAGGTATTAGCTGCAGGTGTGACTGGTCAGTGGTTTCTCTAGGAACTGGCTTTCCTCTGTCTCCCAAACCTGGCACTGGAAGTTAATAGGATGGAAAGCAAAAATAAACTTATCTTGACAACTTTTTATGAGAGTTAGCTGTATCAGAAAGGTTAAGATGATGCTCTCTATGACATCAAATAACTTTTACTTGTTTACATGTCCAGACAAGGAACAGGGTATTTTGACTTCTGCTGAAGTTCGTAGTATTGGATGCCATTCTATTCTATTCAATAGTGATTTACCACTTTCTATATTACTAAAGTCATTTCATGCGATCAGTCCATCAAGCACAGCCACTTGAAGTGCTCTCAACACTTTTGATGATCCCATAGGAGATGTGTTACTGTGAATCTTACATCAAATAGCTGATGTGTTTTACACTGACAGCATTGGGAACTGTAACTTGGATAAAAGCTGATATCAACACTG